TATATATATATATATATAAAGGAAAACACAAAAGAGGTAAAGAAATGAAAGATATTTGAGTTGTTTTTCCATGAGGGTTGATTGGCGAATTAGAAAACGAAAAACTGGATGAAATTTTGGTAGACGTCCTCTAAAGCAGGTACAAACGATAGACGATGAATCGGCATTGATCGGCGAGGATCGGTATTAACCGGTGTCGACAACAGAGACGAGATCCTCTTTGACCCAGTCCATCGCGACGGTATCAAGGTAACGGTCGTAGGAAGCAGGTGGTGAAAGACTGTGCCGTCGTCGCATCGCTTCCTCGTTGGTCATCTCGTCGTTGCGATCGTCTTTCCGTCGTCTTCGTCTCCGCAATAAAATCGTTAAACGTCCCATCGTCCTGTCTCGGCCGGCCAAGCTTTGGATTTTCAACGAGTCGAAAGTCCCCTAAAAGAAAATAAAACCGAGTACGTTCCTGTGTACGTGAGTTCGTTGGATGATCAATGGAATAGAATTTTCCGATCTCATCAGGATTCTCGATCTATTAACTCGTTCACCCGAATAAAATGATCCGGTAAACGTTTCGAATTCCTCTTGACGCGAGGCGAGCGGAAGCCCGGACGGAGAAAACGTGGAATCGAGTGATACCGAGTGAAAATCGATCCCCTATCGATCTCTCGTCGTCATTTTTCGTGATACGCGGCCAAGTTCGATCGAGCGTAACGGTTTCGATTGTCGCGCGGCCTTCCAACCGTGATCCATCCGTGAACCGGTGCAAGCCACCGGATAGGTTACGCAAAGGATACAATACGCGAAAGTCGTATGAGAGATACATAAATTGTGTTTGTCGATGTCGGGCCAGGTTGACAAAGTCACGTACACGCGACACATCGCGCGTTGGCGAAAACAATTTTTTGCAGCCGAGCGCGTTCGTTGGCACAACAGGTGTCGTGGAAACGAGAGAGGGGAGGATCGGCAGGGGGAAGGTAGATGACAGAGGTGGTCCCTCGGCCTCGTGTCGGCGGAGGGGAGGCGGGGTTAAGAAAAACCACAAGTCGAGTGAATCATCGGGCTGTTACCGTTCCGATTGGTCGATTGGCCGAGCCTCTTCCACGAAATCCGCCGCGAATTCCGAGAAATCGGCCGGTGGCGCTACACTCACCGTTATCCTTTTGGCTATTTACTCGCTCGGTGCCGGCAACAAGCGTCCCATAATCGTCGGCCCTGGATGGTCGCGGCGACCCACGCGAACGGAANGCGGAGGAAAAAGAGAAAAAACGAAGACGACGACGACGACGACGGGGACGACAACGACGACGACGACGACGCGCCGATTCGGGAATCAGGGTTAGATAATTGGAAAGATAGTCGGCGAGAAAGCGAGACAAGCGTAAAATAGTTAGATAAACGTGGGGGGTTGACGTGCTCGGCTACACGCGTTCAATAACTATATGACATTCGCATTATCGACGCGTCGCGTGTTGATGAACACGCGTGTGATTACCGTTCTTTTTCTCTTTCTTCTTCTTCTTTTTCTTCTTTCTCTTCTTTTTTTTCAAGGAAATACATGTCGACATTGCATGCATGATATTCTCCTTATTTTTCGCTGCCCTCGAAATACCATTGTCCTTGATCGTGGCGTATCGTGGCTACGAATCGCGTTATTGGGCGTTGGTAGTTAATTAAATCCGTTCCGTTCCTTATTTTGTTTAGGATAGAATTTGAATTGGAGAGAGGCGAGATCGAAGAATTTGGACAAGATGAGACCCGACGAGGTGATACAAAACGAGAGAAGAGCGATGGAGACGATGTCCGAGACATCGGAGGGCACAATGACGACTAGTATTTCCGGAAAATCTGGCTTCGAAAGTCGTGACGAGTTGTGCGACATCGCGGCCGTGCTTGGCATCGGAAATCCGGATGACCTGCTGCAGGAAAGATTTCGTGTTGATCGCCGTAAATTGGAACAGATGCTTCTAGGTAAGTCGCGTTTAGTCATTCGATTCTCCATCTTTCTCCGCCCCCCCTTATACCTTCATCTTCGCTCTTTGTCCGGTACACGAGCATATGTTCCATCCTTCGATGCCTATGTGTTGCGCTATGATTTAAATATATCGTCTGTTTGTAAACGGAATTAGAGGGACTGTCAAATGCTAATTGGCCGCGATTAGTAACGTTTATATTTTGATCGAGACGCGATACAGGGTAGATGTTTATGATGGAATCAAGGGAATCGCGTAAATACACGAGCGGTGAATTTATCCGTTTACCTATCGAAGATAGGAAACGAATCAGTGTCAAACGAGGATCAGCGTTGAGGCTGAAATTTCCTTTTGCCATTAAATTGGCAAAATAATGCAATTTTTTACACATATGATTGCACATAATTTAATATCTGTCGAAAAAACATATTTTTGTTCATAAATCATCGGAATATTAATAAAATCAATTAATAAAAAATTCATTTAAAATATCGATGCATGGAATTATGATTACAATGCAATATATCGATAATTAATCGCTTGTTTTATTATTTTTTAATCTTAATATAACATCTAGTTTGATTCATTAAGCATCAAGAAATAAGAATAATGTGTAATGTTATATTTATGTGTTGTTATATCAAGATATAAAAAATATATTAAATTAAATTTAAAAAGAAATTCTTATTTTAAAGAAAAATCTGGTTTATCATGCTGCATATTTATAGTTTAATTTTTTCAAATTTTATATGATTTATAATTATATGAAAGAAGAAATATTAAACAAAATATTTACAAGTAACGATAATTGAAAATCAAATTTATATATTAATGTTAATCGTTAATAAGTATGTGCTTAAAGTTAAGTAAGTTCGTAATAAATATAAATTGTTGTTAAAAAAACTTTTTTAAACAATAATTTTATTAAAATGAAACATTTATCTGATTTTTTGGTTTTAAAATATTTCTAAGTATAATTAATATAGTTTTTCATAATGTTTTGCGAAATATATAAATAAATATAATATCTATCCAAGAAATATATTTATAGAAAAATGCAATAATTATAAAAAAATATAAAATGAATTTTTTTAATATTTTTAAATAGTTATTAATATTTTATGTCTTATTTATACTTACTTACTTTGATGCTAAGAGTAACATAATATTTTGCTAAAAATATTAAAAAAAAAGCATTCAAACATTGCCTTTGAACAAAACTTAGTAGATACAATAAAAATAATAGTAACTAATTATGAAGCTCTTTAAAATGTTAATATCTAAAAATTTATATAAATTTGTTACGAATTTGCATCCTTCTAAAGTAAATACTGCTTCCCTCCATAATTGGATAGTAGAAATTTATTTTACAAAATAACGGCACAAAAGATGTTTCCACGATTCATTTTTAGTTTCATAATATAAATGGAATTTTTATATACTTTGTATAAAAGAAGAAAGATAAAAAAAATATTAAATAAATTTTTAAAATTGTATAATTTTCATTTAAAAAAAAAAATGATACGATTATTGAATGGCAAATAGAATTATAAATGAAATGTCGGATTAACGTAACACTTGGCCTTATGGATTAATTAATATTGCGCGTTCTTCCGAATTTTTTCGCGTCCTCCAT